GCAATAAATAAATGAATAAATAACAAGAAAATTGTGGGTTATACATACACTAATAGAGCTCATTTTCTTCCTTCAAAAATAAATAAATAAAATAAAGCTTATTTTCTAAAAGGTCAAATTTAGAGGCCGGGAGTTGTCAATAATAATGTCTCATACATGCATTCATTTGCATGTAGTACTCCTACCGTCTGTTTAGAAGATTTTCTCTTTTTTTTTCTTCAAAAAACACTTTCAAGGTAAACAATGAGTAGTATATCTAAATAAAGTTATTGCAATAAATTAAAATCTAATCATTTTGTATTGATATAATAAGTTATTTAAGCGGTGATCATATTTATTTCTTTTTTTCATTCAATACTAAGGATACACAATTAGAAAGTTAAATGACGAAGATAAATTTGAAAAAAGCTGAAATATGTATTACTGTTTTTGCAAATGAAGATTGGTAAAATGACGAAAGTCAGATGGTGAACATAAATCCAAGTGTGCAATATAATACGAATCATGTTGATAAATCATAAATGTGCGTGTGAAGAAAATAATTAAATAAAAATAGAAATATTTGTACTAAATAGCACTAAAACTTAAGTCATTTCATTAAATAGCACTTAAATTTTTTATTCCCTAAATAGCACTTAATGATGTCTAGAAGAAGGAATAATGTCCAGTGATGGCAAACACTTATTTGAATAATGACTAAAAGTACTACATTGGGAAAAAACACGGGAGAAAGACCAAAGTATGATTAAAACATTAAAAATATACTAAAAGAGAACTTTCATGTTTTTATTCTCGAAATAAAACTTAAAATGCATTTACATTACCAAACATGGTCATGTACATTACCAAAAAATATATGTAATGTGCACGTGTACAGTGCCACATTACCCAGTGTGAAGTCGTATTTCGAGAAAAAAACATGATAATCTTATTTCGGTACTTTTCTCTATTTTTTAGTCATATTTAGGGTGATTTCCTAAAAAACACATATGCTGTTATTTAGAGAAAATCATTATGCTTAAGTGTTATTTAAGTAAATTTTCCACTAGAAATAATTTAAGGCGGCACATTAAATAAGACAAATTCTCAGTTCCTATAAATTCTTTCCCCTTTCGTTTTTTTCCAATTCCTTAACACACTTTCACTTTATATAAAAAATCACTTTTACCTCTACTTTTTCATACTCTACCTATCACATCATATTTTTCACTAATAACCAAACTATCACATCTTATTTTACCCATCAGATCAGGGGCAAAATTGAAAAGTCAACCAAAATTACACTTTCTTTATTTTGGTCCAAAGTCAAAATGAGAAGGGTTTAAAGGAACAGAGGAAGTACAAAACAAGATCTGAAAAGAATATTTTGTGTTATCAAATTATCAGTTAGAACATGCAAGAAAATAAAAATTATCGAGAAGCCATTGTAGTAATTTAAGAGGAAAATAATTATTCAGGGGCAGAAGAATTACCTACTACTTATTTTTATTTGAATCAGGTCAGATAATAAACACTTTTATATACAACTACAATTATATCGAAACCAAATATGATCAAATAACAATTTATTTCAATCATATCAAAAATCAATCAGATCAGCCAAGAGAACAAACCCTAACCATGTTTTCCAAAGTATATTTCATAGGTAGTATGAAAAGTTGTAATCAATTTCATAGGAAAGAGTTGAAAAAATGGATGGGATTGGGATTTGGGATGAGTTAATGTAGACAAATGGTTGAGAAGTCAAAGAAGAGGCAAAGAAAAGAGGAAACATGGGGAGTTGTCAGAGATGGTTGGTTTAGTTGTATGCATGGAAATGTTGATGAAAGCAGTCAACAAATCCGGCAATTCGGGTTTGACACGTAAAGACCGTTGACTTCCTCTTCCCGATAATAATAATAATAATAACAATCGGTTCTTTCCCAGACGCCGTTCGTTAAAGCAAAGTCCTCGGAGTCAATTGCATGTTTAGCAATATAGTTTGGTCATGTTTTTTTTTTCAAAAAGGTGGCGTAACTTTGGGCTAATTTGTGACATTTTCGGTCATATTTTTTTTCCTCTCAGAGGTGACACAATTTTTTGGTTTCTACCAGTTGCGTGTGGATTGGTCGACCTCGGGTCATGTATGTGGCACAAACATCAAGGTTTTTGACCCATTGTGTGAAACAAATGGATAAAGATCATATATTGTTCCAAATAGATATCATTATTGTTTCGTATTTAATGAGTTTTTATCTCGAAAATAAAATTGTTTGCAAAAATACTCGGTTCGACCGGATAATTTTGAGAATTTAGTATTGTAGTTTTTAATGTCGTTTTGAAAGCCGTTAGTCGAGAGACTGAACTGAATATTATTCTCAATTTATGAGTACCATGTTGAAAATTTTAGTACATCTCATATTACTACTTGTTGTAAGGTCAGTTTCTTTTATTTCTCTGTTTTTATCAGATTATTTACAAAATTATCACTCAGCTACTATGAATAATATTTACTACTAGAATCTGCATGTCGGGTTTGTGTGGGTCGAAAGCTCTCGCGAAAGGGTTAGAGCGGACAAAAATTTATTTTTTGCGTAAGTCTTGCGTCAACGTACGAGGCGTGACTAATCTGCTCGACGGTAATTGCTAAAGTAGGCCACCCCTCGCCGATTTGTGTCGGTTAGTCTCTCGGTAATTGGTGTTGGTTAAGTCATTTATCTACATAAAAGAATAATAAGTTAATAGACACCAACACATAAAAAATACCCCATAATCAAGGCTATATTTGTCAACTATGTTACTCCTTCCGTATAATTTTTTTTCTCGTTTTCACATGGCACGGAGATTAAGAAAAATTAAAAAGTGTAATGATTTTCAATGTATTGTCACTGATATGATGGAATACAATGAATAATGTTAAGAAAAAGTAGGGATATAATGCTACATTCATTAAAAGTTTTTTTGCGAAAATGAAAAATGAAAAAGAAATTTTTGCACGGTTCCAAAAAGAAAACGAAAAAGATTTTAATGAACGGAGTAAGTATTTGTCAAATCTTTATGGAGAACGAACAATGACATGCAAGCCCACAGTCCACAAGTAAGAAACCCAACGTGTGGCGGAGTTCAACCTCAATAGCCGAGCATTGGGCCGACTTATAATTGGGGACTGAGTACTAGAAATATTTAATTTGTAATGGGCTTCGTATCAGGTTTAGGCCCACCTCACTTATAATTGGGGACTTTCTGTCTGTCATTGATGATGATGATGATGATGATTGGGGTCTTAAAAACCAGACAAGTTCTTGTTGGAGATTAAGGAAAAATGTTATCCATTAAACTTGTATTAAAAAGTTTTATGGGTGTGATGCTTTGTTTTTTTCCCTTTTTTGGAACATTTGGTCTTTGTTTGTCATCTTCTGGAACAACCTTTTACTACTATTTGGTGAAGTAGTTGGTATGTTCAAAGGAAAATCATAATTCCACAATGGTAATGACAAGTTTGGATTTTACAATGTTAATTTCCTTTCTAATCAAAAGTTGTATTTTATCAGGTTAGATAAATAAAAACATATCATAGCAAATCACACCCAATTAACACATTCTTTGTTAAAGTGGATCCCACATTGGAAATTTCAGAGTAAGATAATCGGCATATAAGCTCTTGAGTTGAACTAATTAATTGATTGGATTTAATCTTTTTATGTGGTTCAATCCAATTGTCTTATTACCCAATCTATTTGTCCATATTCATCTTAGATTCTATCATGGTATCGGAGCAGGTTTTGTCCCACCTCGTTTGTTAAAGTGCATCCCACATCGGAAGCTCCAGAGTTAAATAATTGGTGTATAAACTCGTGAGTTGAACTAACTAATCAATTGGATTCAATCTTTTAACTAATAATTATCGGTATTACTATTAGTATTCATTCCACATTTAACTAATTTAAATAGTATTCATTTTCACAAATTTATTCAATACAATTATAATACTAATTTACTAATAATGTAGTGTTCATTCCGAAACAAAGTGGTACTCATTCTCAAATAAAATATTGTTCATTCTCATCTAACTTACCGTTCATTCCACATTTGCTAAGAGCCTGAAATCTGAAACCCCTTTTCATCTTCATTGTTAGAACGCTAAGATCCTTTAGCGGACCTAGGGTTTCTACATCCGCGACTTCCCCCATTTGTATAACCGCCGCCTTGGTTTTCTCCATCTAGAGTTTTTGCTGCCATCACCTTTGTCGATCTGGGATACCATCACTCTCGCCACCATCACCATCACTTTCGTTACTCCTGGCGACCTTCGTCGATCTGGTGCACTGCCCCTTGCGATATGCGCTGCTATTTCGTCGATCTTGTGTGCTGCCCCTTGTGATCTGCGTTGCTCTTTCGTCGATCTGGTGCGCTGCCCCTCATGATCTGCGCTGCTCCTTCATTGATCTGGTGCACTGCCCCTCGGGATCTGCACTGCTCATTCTTCGATCTGATGTGTTGCCCCTCGCGATCTCCGGTCCAAAATTGCCATTTCGTTTCACCAGCTGTACCCAATTTAAGGTACAACAGGTTCTATAATACTCTCTCCGTCCACAAATAAACTTCTCGTTCAATATTCACAAATAAGACTTTATTCACTTTGTTGGCCTACTTTCGTTACCTATTTGATAAAATATTATAGTCATGTCACTTATAGTTTTGTAGATCTTTTGATATAGTTTTTTTAATATGTATCATTTTTCATATAATATGATTCAAATATAATTTCAGTTAAATATCATAACGCGCAACGAAAAGTCTATTTGTAGAAGGATGACTATAATACAAAATCAAAAGTGGAGTTATTTTTTCTTTTTTTAAAAAAGGGCATGCGGCAAATTGGGATCGAAAAGGCAACACGTGTCGCGTGGTCGTCTGCACTACGGACACGTAGAAGGATCGCCCGTCCCGTCCTTATCTCTCTAATATAATCTCTCACCGACTTCGGACTCCATTAGATGCCTTCCTTTAATTTCCACCGTCGATCAGTCTCCCAACGGGTTCGATTATATTTCATTGTTGGAACCCGGCCCGAATACCCCGCGATTGAGACGCCATCATCATCGACGGCTCTCGCCGATAACCGCTCCACAAATCTGACGGCCAATTTTTCTCCGTTTTGGCGCATACGCTCGGATTACCTTTCATCTTTTCTTCGTTTAATCGTCCTTCTCTTCTCCGATTCCTTGAGGTAATTAAGCTGAATTGTTAATATAGTTAGAGAGTGGTATTACTATTCAATTTCTTAAATTGAACTTATTCAAATTCCAGTAACTAAAATGAATGTATTTAAATTTTTGTTATGGAAATATTTACATGAATATTTAATAATTGATGCTATTCATTTTACTCATTTAAACACTGTGAGAATCTCTCAGATTTTGTCACATCAATAATTTTGTTGTTTTAAATTATTCTTCGGAGTTTAAAAGATTATGCCAACCCTCTAGGGTTCTAACTCTCTCAGATTTTGTCACATCAGCATTTTATTCTCTTTAATTTCAATGCCTTTGACCACTTGGACAATATCCCCTCCCCGGTCCTTATAAATGAGTAACTCTATTTGTATTAAATAAATTATATACGTGCATTACATATTGATTTTTTCAATCAATTTATATATATATATATATATATATATATATATATATATATATATATATATATATATATATATATATAATTAACCTTTTATATACTACGTATTTATGAAAATAAGAGATAATTATATAAAGTAAACACAAAATTACACAAAGTAACATGTGTACCTTTCATTAAAATTACATAAGTAAATATACATAACATGTAAATGGTACAAAATATAAATAAGAGCACAACAAACATTATTATTGCTTTTTTATGTGTCTGGTTTTTAATGGTTTTTTTTCTTTTTTTCTTTTTTTAAATTAACATTTTTATAACAAAAAAATTGTAACTAATTTTTATTTTTAGAAAATACGGAGTAAGTGTTATTGATTAGGTATCTGATTTTTATTAGATAGATTGATTTGAGAGTATGAGTCTGGAATCTCAATGACTCTTCCAAAGTTTCCCCACTTTTTTCTCAAAAAATCTCATTGGGGATGCACTAAGATAAAAATGTGGCATTTTAAAATGCTAACTAGGTTGTTATTTAGTAGTCCCTCCGTCCCAATTTATAGCGTCTGTTTCGGTTTACGATGTTTGACTGAAATTATTTTCAAATCATTTTATATGACAAATGGTATAGAGTTAAAAAATGAAAATTACATATCAAAATATTATATCAAAAGATCTACAAAACTAGTATTGACAATAATACTTTATTTTATCAAATTGCTAACAAAAATAAAAAAAGAAAATGAATGAAGTTTGATCCTGTGAATAGTGAACATGCACTATAAATTGGGACAAAGGGAGTATAAGTTAATTTAATAAAACTGAAATGCATTTATATTTTCACCAGATAAATTATGAATAGTGTTTCAGACAATTAATTAGAGATTTTTAAAGTTATTATTTATTACTGTATAAAAATTATACTCTCTCCGTTCCACAAAACCCTTCCTCTTTCGTTTTTGTTTTCTTTCCACAAAACACTTCCACTTTCTATTAAAAAACCACTTTTACCCATACCTTTTCATACCCTACCTATCACATCATACTTTTTCACTAATAACCAAACTATCCCATCTTACTTTTTCCCATCACATCAGGGGCAAAATTGGAAAGTTAATCAAAATTACACTTTCCTTATTTTTCCCCAAAGTCAAAACCGGGTTTTGTGGAACGGAGGGAGTATTCGTTAGTTAGGTCGAAGATAGAAATCCAACAGTATATCTTATGAAAGTATCCGAGCTACGAACATATTTAAAGTTCTAACAAATTTAAAAGCACATCCACTAGTGGTTATGAAGGGATTCTTAGAATTTGCATAACTCTAACACTACTACTTACAGGTGAAGATGGGAGTCAAAGCATTACTTGTCACCCTCTTCCTTTCTTCTCTATGGTTTTCTCCATCCCTCTGCGCCGCCTCAAATGATGGGCTGGTTAGGATTTCACTCAGAAAGATGAAACTGGATCAGGAGCACCTAATTGCCTCCAACTACAGAGGGCACTCAAGGAAGTATAACTTCCAGGGTCGATTCGGGAATTCCGAGGACTCTGATATCGTGGCACTAAAGAACTACTTGGATGCTCAGTACTTTGGGGTGATTGGTGTTGGTACCCCTCCTCAAAAATTCACTGTCATCTTTGACACCGGGAGCTCCAACTTATGGGTTCCGTCGTCAAAGTGCTATTTCTCAGTGAAGTTCTCTGCTCTTTATTGTCTATACTATTGAGTTTTATTTTGTTGGTTTTTAACTAAATGTCTTTTCCACTTTTGGTTTGATGGTTTTCACTGTTTTGCAGCTTTCTTGTTTCTTCCATTCTAAATACAAGTCAATCCTATCCAGTACTTATAAAAAGAATGGTTTGTGTTAAGGCCTATATATACCAATAAAAATGATGTCTTTACAGTTTTTTCATGAACCTCTTTGTCATACATAAAAGGAACTGCTGCTGCAATCCAATATGGATCCGGAGCAATCTCGGGCTTCTTCAGCCAGGATAGTGTCCAAGTTGGTGATCTTGTTGTGAAAAAACAGGCGAGTTAGGGTCTTTTGATCATGGACGGTTTTTGTCGTGTCATGGTGGTGAAATTTAATTTGATCATTAACAGGATTTTATTGAGGCAACTAGGGAGCCAAGCCTGACGTTTCTCGTTGGCAAGTTTGATGGTATCTTGGGTCTTGGGTTCCAGGAGATTTCTGTTGGAAATGCCGTTCCGGTTTGGTATATGATCACTTTTCTTTCTTCGTTTTTCAATCTTTATTGTAAGTGTCAGTTTAGATTTTCATAGTTTCCTTACAATTCAATTTCTTATTATTCCTATCTCACAAACAGGTACAACATGATGAACCAAGGACTAGTTAACCAGCCGGTTTTCTCATTTTGGCTGAACCGTAACGTACAAGACGAGGAAGGGGGAGAAATTGTATTTGGGGGAGTAGATCCCAATCACTACAAGGGGAAACACACCTACGTTCCGGTGACAAGGAAAGGTTATTGGCAGTTTGAGATGGGTGATGTTCTCATCCACGGTAAACCCACAGGTATATACTGTTCCACCACTTTGCGAGTTAAGGAAGTGGTAGTTATACTGTATGACCGATCAAATATTGCTTTCGAATCGAAGGGTATTGTGGGAATGGATGTTCTGCAATAGCAGATTCAGGGACTTCTCTCCTAGCCGGCCCAACGGTACTTGGTTTTACACTTTTACCCTTCAAAAAAGAAAATAGAGGTAGTGTTCTATTTAGATCTTAGATGGTTTTTGTGTGTGTGTGGGGG